TCTATATATATATATATATATATATATATATATTCACAAACGCATGAATCCAGACTGTGCCAAACAAATCATGGTACAATAATCTTTGTGAAAAAGAAAAACGTTCCATAGTTTGCATGTGGGCGGAATACTGCCAGGCTGCCCATGCCAAGGCAGGTGAATTTTCTTAAGGAATCCACAGCCGTAGCATTTGGCTAGCCACAGCCTGACCCGCAAGGCAGCGGAGCGGTGTGCGAAAACCGCAATTCATTAGGGGCCGGTGTCCAGTTCATCGGATCATACGCCCTTAGGACCGGATCAAACGTCCAAGGTGCCCAAGACACCTCGATTCCCAATCCAGCCGGTGACCACTGCCACAACCAGGAAGTTGTGTGTGTGGTTCGTACGCCTCCTCTTGGTTGGTTTGGAATCAAGGTTTTTGGCCAACTGCCATATGGGAACTACCATTGGTCCACCAACCCGATTATAGCCCCGAATGTCGGCATTTGGTCGCCTCACTTTAGTCGAAAACAACGCCACGGGAAGGCGGTAGTGAGTAGGGCTTCCTCAGCAGAGGCTATTCGAGACGCTTGGTCGTATGGGAGCATTTTGCGAGTTGCAAGGGTCGGGTAACCAGGCGCAACCCTAGACACAGCCCCGACCATACTGATGGTTTCGGAGGCAATAATAAATCAGTTAACCATAAGTGTACTGTAACGATTTCGGGTTATATTGTCGTTCCGAGTCTTTCTGTGTCTGTGTGAGGAAAAAGGGAATGAGTAACTTTTCCTATGGCAATCGCACTCACAAATCCACTAGAAAATGACTTTATACTGTTTGGTGCACCGTCAAGATAACGCGCACTTCATAATCAATAAAAATGTGACGTTTATCACATGGATTCGGTACCTTGGATTGATCGATGTGTGTGTATAGCCTGATGTATGATGTCTTCCAGCTGAAAGCTTTTTGCAGCGGACAAGAGTTTGTTCTGAAATTAAAATGAAATAAACAAAAGGAGTACATTACATTCATATGTCCTAATTGACACTTCGATTGCAAAATTTCATTTTATGTTTGGTTGCGGTGTTTTACCTGAAAATCATGTGAAACTAAGCACCTGTTCATTGTTTACTAATTTGACGTAAGTAAGTTTACGTTACTTTGGATCGCGACGACCTGGATAGCATTATTTATCTCAATTTGTTGTGCATGAAATTGGTGTTCTGTTGTGATGGCGCTTGATAACAGGTGTTTTCGGATTATCTGTGCTCAACTGCTCTTATCTGGGCGTTCCCGATCCCGTTGGTGAATTGATTCAGATACCTGGGAGAATTTTCTCGTACTTTAAATTTCACTGTCATCTGACGTGGTCCATCGGAAAACCAACGTATTTCACACTCGTCTGAGGCAACCCATGACCATTTCACCTCACTTTTAAGGAACAATGGACAATACACATTCATCCTGCCCCTACTGGGATACGAACCCAGTCACGAGGGTACAGTTGACTACACGTCAACAACACGCCTGGCTCCAACATACTGTAATCGACTTCGTAATGCACAACTTCTTATTGGAATCATGGTATGATCGCTTGGGAAGTTGTTAATTCCCACACCAGGGGTGTGAAACTTTGAGGCTGAAAATTTATAGATAAAAAGCGACCTGTGCGCATCTCATATATATACCCGAGTTGAACGTTGTTTTGAACCCTCATAGTTACGCGCCTAATGTCCCCGGTTATCTTCCGAAGTTTTATTTCTCTGGACATCTTCAGTTCACTTTCTATGGATATCAAGATTACGACGACGAATTCTGTCCTGGTAGTTTAGCAATTCAATTCAATCAATTCCTTGGACAGCGCAGTGTTTTTCAGTCTATCGGGACACAGATGTACCGATCAGGTGCATCGGTCATCTGATGTTGGTATTGTAACCAGTCGCGCGCGCGTAGGCCACCCGTACATAACAGTATTGAATTTCGGGGCACAGGACGATACATCTGAATCTGAGGGTGAAATAATTTGGGTCTTACTCCTTCCTACACAAAGCTCACATTTAATCCAGTTTTCCTCTATTTTTCCAAATCATCAACTAAGGCGACCTGTTTCGCACCCGTCATACGTTGGTGCTTTGACATTAATTGTTCACTTAACTAGATGGTTCGACTTTCTATGTGTTCTGATGACTCGTTCTCCTCCAACATCCATGCATGCGCTCACACACGTGATTCGCTTTATTGATTTCATGGCACATTCGAGAAACATGAATGTAAATCTCTGGCATCCTTTTGAAGTGTTACAAAGCAATCGACTTTATTTTAATTAGACTCTTGTTAAACGATAAACCTGACCAAAGTCATAGTCACGCGTACTTACTGTTTGGTCGATTGAACCAACCACCTAATCTTTAAGGTTTAAGGCAGCTCACAACATGAAATTCCTATGGTTCATGCTTAATATGGCCCTCGAGAGTTAGCGCTTTTGGCCCGCACCGAAGGTGGGTCGCATCGTCGGAGTTGGAAGTGGTGCACGTGTGAATAATAACGGATTAGACTGACCGCTCAAACAAGATGCACCGTTTAGTGAAATTTTCCTCCTACCTCTCGAATCCCAGGTCCGTTGGCATATCGCTTTCCAAAATCAATGGGATTATTGCATGAGCAAGTCAGAACCAATGAAATTCATGCAAATCCCCTCCGGGATAGATCCACGACGAATCAGAAGCAATAAAACAGTTTGGGGTGATCGATTTATTCTTCTCGGCCATTTATTTTCATCACAATGCACGCCCGAACACGAGGCGGTTTTTTCTGAACATGAAAACGGTACGCGTGCAATTGTTCAATCGAACCGTTTAATTTCTGTCGTGGCTGAAGGTTCCATACAGACGAAAAAACGGCGGGTGCGTTAGAGCATTCTCATAGTGTACACACACATTTAGGTTTCGCCTAACCGTGAAAATAGCGTATCAGCTCTACCGTTGTTCAGCTTCACCATACTCCAAAGCTTCCCGCTTGTCGTAAAACACCCTGTCCCATTTAGGCGGTTAAATCCTTGGCGAACCTGATACCCTTCTGTTTGACTAGACTAACTAAACAATGCAGAAGTGATAAAATCATCCATTACGCTTGTTCTGACAGCTTGTTTTGTTGGATGCGGTTTTGAAAGCAGAAGGAAGGTTGAATAATCTCCGGTGAAATCATCATCGTGTATTATGAATAATTGACCATGATGATGGTGGTCTATTTTTCATCCAGTTCTCATGACATATCTGTGTATATTTACATTTGGAAAATCTCTTGTTTCCTCACACCTGTGATGCTATGACACTTGTTTATAAAAGATGTATAATTGAGATATGCGGTGCCTGAAAACAACGGACTGGATTTTCCATTTATAACAGACCGATTAAACGGACTCCCTATGGAGTTCAAAGCCTTTGCATGACGTCTTTGTACCAGAAATCGAGAACATCAGTCGCTGAAGTCTTCAAGTCTAAAGCTTTTAAACGATCGCGTTCTATAAGAAGTTTACTGTAGACAGTTTGTTCCAAACCTAAGTGGATAACTGTGCCTGCGTTTAAGCCTCAAACTCTATCCCTATTTGTTTGATGCATTTTTGTCCCGTGGCGCCCGACTGAATCAGAATGATCGTCTTGTGATGTCATTCTGCAACAATTCAGCTGGTGTTTAAGATAGTGCAATATACAGTCACAGTCGGAAGCGGATTTTGAGCTGGAGACTGAGAATGAGCATACATTCGGTGATCATGCACTGGCCTTGCCTATCGTTTTCTGATATTGAGTCCATCATGTCTGATGGCGAAAGACTGATTTGATCCGCTGAAATATAAACCAAGAGTACTATGAATAAGTGTCCCTTTCTAAATCAATATGTCGTCACACGACATAACTCCCTTCTCGGTTTTCGTATTGTCCTCGATGCTCCATCAGTGCTACCCTCTACCACGACCTCTAGTTCTCACCCTATCTCCGTCACTAAGTTTTCCTCCCGCTATGTCGTTGTTTTTTAAATATAGTTTGATGGCGATAGAAATGTACTACCTTTGGTTGACTGATTGATTGAGCCGAGTTTCTTATTTGGCACGTGGCTGCAGAAAATAACCACTGAACAAGTTTGGTCATCCCTTATGTAGTTTTTCGCGGACTCTGGGGTCAAATTCAAATTTTCATTATGCGTAATTTCCAAAGATGATGCTCATTGAATCCCATAGGATCTGTACACTCTGAGTGTGGATAGTATTATAATTAAATAACCAAGTATCACGGATGCTGAACAGTTAGTTGTTTCGATGCTTTGTCGAGCTGAGACTTGAATGAATTGTTAGTTGGGGATCGCAACCTTGAGTTAGAAGAGAGTTCCAGGTATTACATTTTCTGAGTTCGAAACAATGGCACCTAGTCTAGTCGACTCTTTTGGAGTAGCGGTTAAAGGTTTGTACCCTGACGTGATCATTCCCGGGTGGTGTCAATAAGCCACGATGCGTGTGGTTAGATGGAAGCTGTATTTGACATACGAGGATATCTTCCCGAATTCGGCGGTATTGAGATGAATAAAGATCATCATACAACCCAGAAACCCGAACTGCCATGAAGGTTGTCGAAGAAATTCCTCTATCCAACCCAGCACAGCTCCTCGAATTCCATAACTGTGTAGTTTCCTCAACAGTATTATGTGGTTCACTCGGTGAAATGCATTGAAAAAGTCGAGATACACTAATTTCACTGCATCATCCTGGTCAACTGCTTTTCTCCACTGTTCTCCGGCCAGAAGCAAATTAGTGGCATGCGATCGCCTGTGACGAAGCCCATCTTGCACCGGGGATAAAAAGAATTTTTCCAAGTGACTTACCACGTCTCCAATAATGGATTCCATGACATGGGATGATACGGGGAGGAGAGAAACGGGGCAACAGGTCTATAAGACAGCCACCGTTGTACGTTGGTGAAATTATTCCTTGTTTCCATGTTTATGGAAGCACAGTTTTGTCGAACATACGTTGAAATAGTCCACGCAATGGCTGAGCTATGTTACGCACCAAGTCGACAAGGGTTTGTGGATGGATGCTATCTATTCCTGGAATTGAATTCCTTTTCAAATATGGCAGTTTTGGTGCGGTGTCTTCTGGGGAAAATTCAGTTGTGGTTAGCGTTGGATGTGCTGTGTCCTCGAGTAACATAGGGAGCCCAGAAATGGCGGGGGNGCAGTGAAAATTTGAGCGTACTGACGTTTTAACATTACAGCTACCTCCTGTGTTGTGACTGAGACACGTCCTGACAATCCTAACGCTGGAACGCCAGACTTGACTTTTCTGGAGGGATTTACGTTTTTGTCCAACAGCTTAGGATTGGATATAAACTTCCGCATTAGCATTTCTTGGTACATCAATTTTTCTTCTCCCACCAACTTGGTGCCGTGGCTTCGAAGTAAACCATTTGTTGTTACAAGGGAATCGTTTATAAGCTCTCCATGAGATATTTCTCTATGAACTCCACTGTGTTCGAATGCGAATCACTGAGTTTTGACCAGTTGGGTTGATAATATGTTTGACCTTGGTCACACCCTTCACTGTTCCCATGAGGTCACTCGTAAATTCTTGCCATGATACTAAAGGATCACACTGTTCCTTGGAAAAATTCCATCCCGTTTGCCCAAATTCACCTACACCCTACACCTCACTCTCATATGTGTTCTCTGTGATGATTGGCATGTATAGTTTTTTAACTGGAATTGAACCGGGGCTTGCAAAGGTTACACACAATATACAACAGTACAACATCGGCTTTTCCAGAATTATTGCATAACCCGAGTTAATTCGTAAGGTCCAGAAAAACTGGTTATTCCACTCAAATGCCTGATTTTGTTTGATCTTGTCAGGACCCATGCGGACGTCTGCCAGGTGATCAGATATCCGAAATAGTATATATCTTTCTGTGTAAACCAAGCATTCTGGTTTGTTTAATTTGTGCTCATTTTGGGTAAACCGATTAATACTATTTTGAGATTTTTTAAATGCTCGCTGGTGAGTTTTCCTCCTGAACGATAACGGCATCGAGTAAGCCTAAGAACTGGCGCGCAATCAAATATTCAAACAACGGTCACTAGCAAGTCACAACTGCATCAAACAGACCGAAGAGTACGCTGTAAAATTACTTTGGTATCACGAATTTCGTTTTAATTTTGTCTATTTCTTCGTCTTCTACCTGCCAGTGGCCAGAAGTCACGTCAGAGACGTGCTATGGACTGATCTTGGAGGGCGTCGGACTGATTATCAATTTTCAATAGGTGAAATGCACCTCAATCTGACTGCATTTAGTTTGCAATAGTCAACACAGTCGTTGGATACCATCATTCGGCTTGGACCGTGGTGGTTGTGCTGGTCCAAGTGTATTATTTCCCAGTGTATTCGAAACGCTCATGTTTACTTCGTCTCGCATTAGCAAAAGTATTCGACCTGTCTGTATTCTGATAGGGTCGGAATCACCAGTGTCTATGCGATGCTTCATTCGCACGATTCACCCTAAATATACGTTGCATCAAGCTAATGCTTCGATGCAATGTATTGTGGT